TCAGGTCATGATCTCAGGGTTGTGAGATCGAGCCCCACATTGTGCCCTGCACTGGGTATGGAGCTTGCTTAAGATTCTCTCTCTCCCTCTCCATCTGCCCCTCCCCACCACAGTCTCTCTCTATCTCTCTCTCAAAAACAAAAGAAAACAAACAAACAAAAAACTTATGTCTAATACATTATCTTATCAAGATGTGTCTTGGTACCATTATTAGAATGATCCTAACTAATGTATTAAATTAAATGTTCAAAGGTAAAATTACTTTTATGAATCATATTTTATGATCCAGAAGAACAAAATCAAATGAAGAAGAATATTTTTCAAAACACATTTGTAAAACCTAGTATTAAAGTCACTGTTGGGGCACCTGGGTGGCTCAGTCGTTAAGTGTTCACCTTTGGCTCAGGTCATGATCCTAGGGTTCTGGAATCAAGCTCCACATCAGGCTCCCTGCTCAGTGGAAAGCCTACTTTTCTCTCTCCCTCTGCTGCTCCCCCTGCTTGTGCTCTCTCTGTCAAATAGATAAATAAATAAAATTTTTTTAAAAATAAGATAAAATAAAAAATAAAGTCACTGTCAAATAAATGAGTGTCTGGCATTTGACAGATTTATTATAAATTACTGGAACCAGAAGAATCTTCAAAATATACTTTAAATTTTCATTTTTCATATGAGTAAATAAAGAACCAGGAAGGTGACTTATGCAGGTCTCACAGCTAATTAATAACAGAACTAGGTAAGAATGAATATTCTTTGTCTCCTTCCTAGAGCAGTGCTCCAACACACTACCAAGCCTCTTACAGACACAACAAATTCTAAACTGATATGTGGGGTATATTTCAAAAACTCACCTATGAATCACTTGTAGTTAGAATTGGGAATTCACTGCCTGATGAGGAGGTCAATCTCAGGACCCTAAGATCATGACCTGAGCCGAAGACAAAGGCTTAACCCACTGAGTCACCCAGGCGCCCCTCTTCATGGTCTTTTAACCCAGGTGTTTTTTACCATAAACTGTTCCACTACATAAAAACAGAACACGGAAGAATATGGAATGTGGCAGCCTGACCACAGGCCCCTGTCATCCTCACCTTCCCAAGCTTCAGTAGACTTACATAGTGTGTTTGAGACTATGGGATTTACTAGAAGCTCTGGAGAAGTAAGTTAGGGACTTTCATATGCTGTGTACTAGAGAGGAGACTAAAAGTCTCATGAAGTAAAACTTCCCAATAAAGACAAAAAGTTATAGGACCCAAAATTAGCTTAGTTGTCAAACACATGAGAACCTCCTCAAGAAGGCCAGCATCTGATCGTGAGCAATCCTGATAATCTCCCCAATGTAGTTATATGGCTTCTCTGTTATCTATATAGAGCTCTGTAACATACTAAAATGATATAAAACCTTACCAAGGAATTGGATGGCATTCTTCCTAAGAAATATCATCATCACTACCACTCTTGAAAAAATTCTTTTACTGGAGATCTTCTGATGGTAAGTGACAAAAATCCAAGCGAACAAACAAAAATTATACCATATAATCAAATTCTAGAGAAGTAAGTTAGCCTCAGAAAGACTAAAACTAGTACTCTCTGACTTTCATTTCTGTTTCTCTTTAAGCATCAGTGTGTTTTACAGAGTAGAAGTCTCATTAGCTATAACTATAGCCCGCACTGGCTCCTGGCTCCTATCTTCTCAATTCAGTTATCAGAAAGAGAAGTCTCTTCCCTCTTAATCCAATATTTCAAAAAACCCTCCTTGACTCAGCTTGGTCACGTGACCACCTCACTGAATCAGGGGAGCAAAATGCTATAACTCACTTATATTGTGTTCATTCCTGAAAGCAAAGAACATGGAAGAGTCCATTCAGAATACATGTTATAGTAGAATGAGTTCTCTGAAAAGGAGGCATGCTATTCCCAAAAGAAATGAGAGCCATTGCCAGACAAAACAATGAGTGTCAACTATACTTCTAACCCTAAAATATAACAGCTGTCTACATATTTGAGAATGCAGGATCTTGGGAAATGGATGGTAGCAAAATAAAAAATAGTTATTTTAATATTTTCATGGACTTAACAAGTCTTTACTGGGACTCATCTCAGTTACTGATGGCAAATTTTAAAAAATCTCTTATAAGAACATAAAAATTAAAGCAAATCAATGCATACAATAAAAAAAAAATCAGCAGTTGGGGCACCTGGGTGGCTCAGTCAGTTAAGCATCTGTCTTTGGCTCAGATCATAATCTCAGGATCCTGGGATGGAGCCACGTTGGGCCCCTTACTCGGGAGAGAGTCTCCTTCTCCCTCTGCCCCTCCCCCTGCTCCTGCTCTCCCTCTCTCTCAAATAAATAAATAAAATCTTTTTTAAAGAATCAGCAGGTCAAAGAAGAAGGTCATTTTGGGGCATTTATAGTGAGTTACTATAAAACATAAAGGTGTAAAGGAAATTAGATCACTGAATTCAAAGCTCAGTTGGAAGAATTCTCTCAAAACTTACAAAAACTAAAAAACAAAAACAACAGTAAAATGAAAATCCTAGAAGGAAGGGCATTAGAAAAATAAGACAGACCCAGGACATCAAATAACCAATAACAATTTCAAAAGCATGGAAGAAAACAGACTGGATCAATACAAAAGAAAAAAGAGGAAGTTTTCTCAGACCAGACCAAACATTAGTCAAGATTTATGAACTCACACTCATAACTAGACATATGGAATGATGGAATGGCTAAACTTCAAAAATAAATAAGTCTTACAAACATGCAGAAATATTTTATAAAAAGTTTCCTTGGAAGAAAAGTTAATTGGATATATCTCACCTATATACAAGCTTTGTTTTTAGTGATAAGAAGAAAAATTAATCCATTCACCAAATATTTATTAAATTCCTATGTGCTGTTCAGCAGTTAGAGATACAATAGTGAACAAATGAGGTAAAGTCTCTGCTATGGAACTTATATTCTAGTGGGACTAAATGAAACTCCATGCAAAGTAGAAAAAGCTTACTGAGATAATCTCTGTCTAGGTAGGAAATTTTTGTATTTCATATTTTGTTTCCTCGTATTTAAGAGGTGATACTACATTTTATTTTATTTTCTATATTTGTTTTATCAATTAGGATTAGGTTCAGCTCTAAGACTGAATTAACAGAGGTTCATATTTCTCTCATTAAAAAGTTCACAGGTAGGTGGCCTTTGGGCATTCTAGCACCTCAACTCCATAAAATCTTTAGAAATCCAGGCTCCTCCATCACTAAACATGTACCCTGTACCTACCTCGCCACACCACACACACACACACACACAATCCCCCAATATTGTTTGGGGAATCCAAGGAATTAGCATTTTAACAGGTACCCCAAGTGATCTTAATGAGGTGGTTTTTTACTCACCTGAGAAATCCCAAAGTAGGGGAATGAGAAAAAAAAATGGTCAAGTGAGTCCCCAAAACCAGGTAATGAAAGAAATAAAATTACTTCCAAGAATCAAACAACGAAATCAATAGTTACTAAGAGCAGAAATATATAGTTAACTAAAGAAACATAAACCAAAAAATTAAAGAATTAAAAAGAGAATCATAAACCACCAACATCTGATAAAACCCGAACTTTTAGATATTTTCTTACCTACAAAAACAGTCAACATGAAGGTGAACGATGCAAAGTAAGCCACAGAAACAATGAAAGTATCTAAAAGAGTCCTAAAGGCTTTCTCAATATGTGACCCCCACTTTTTTTTTGCATGCCTTTTTAGAACTTCAACTATTCTCTTATGAAAAGTTTGGATTTACTTTTCCTGCTACCTTCTAAAACATATCAGATGATATTCTGTAATTTTAAATTAATTTTATGTCATTAATAGTATCCTCTGTCAGATTATGTCTTAGAAACTTAGGTAGTACTAAGCTATAGCAAAGGCTGTAATGAGATAATTTTCAGCTAAGGAGCTAGGCAAAAATGCAAAATGAATTTGGCTTCCACATTCTCATCTCCATGTCATTATGAAGGGAAATAGGAGGCAAAAGAAAGGACAATATGTCATAAAGCCAGATAAACAATAGTTAACATTATTTTGTAACATCTATCATCCTACTTTCCCTTAACACAAATGCAAAATTGAGATGATTGTTCCCATTTACCAAGTCGTTTTTGAAAATTCCTAACCACTGGTCCTGTTCAGAAAACAGATGCATCTCCATCTAAATTATCTTAAGTTCAATAGCTAAAATAAGCTGCAGACCATTATACTACTCCTCCTTAGAACTTTCCCTTACCTCGCCTTTTTGCGAAGTCCTATCCTTTTAAATTGCTGTTTAATTTCCAAATTAATTATTCTACAGCTTCAAATCACTCAAGCAACCTCTCAGTATGCTGTACTAAGGCTTTCCTAGTATCAATTTCAGACTGGTGATATAGCGTTTTTATTTCAATAAAAATAAAAAGTATGAAGCCTGACCTCTGCCAAGGAGATGTGCGACTTTGGGCAAGTCTCTTCAACGTTCAGAACTTAGTTTATGTCATTTGAAAAATGACATTTTTTAAGTGTATAATCATGATTTAAATTTAACCAGGATTCTTGTAAAGACATGCTAGATTTTCTTCAGTGGAGCAATTTGACAAGTTTTACATAACCTTTCCCAAGCCCTTCATTGTGTGTACTTACTGGAAATCTACTTATGCTCCATTTTACCACGGAATTAAAGGGGAGAACGTTTTTGCCCTGGGGAGAACGGAATCATGGCCCCCCGCTAAGATGTACCAGGATGACCGCACCGCAACTTACACCCGGGAAGCTTTACAGAAGCAAAACCAAGGGCTTTGCCAGGTGAAAGCTACGCCCCAGACGTGCTTTGTTTTACATGCCAACCACTGCTGGAGATTCTGTAGGGCCAGGCAGAAAACGCTTGGGGTTTTGTTTTTCTTTTTCTTTTCAAATTTCAAATTCCCTAAAGCCAAAGGCTGAACTCCAAACCATCCAGTCTGTGGCTAAACTGCCTCACCGGTTCTGAGTGTGGAAACACAGCTCCGCCTCGCCTGCGACCGCAAGAGGGAGAAGCCGCTCCAGGACAGCCAAGTTGAAGCCCAGAGCCCGTCCCACCGGCCCGGCCCCCGCGCGAGCTACACCGTGCCAAGCGTCTGCCGCTCACGCACCGGCACCGAGCTGCAACGCGGCGCAGGCCAACTGCGGCCGGATCCTGGCGGCGCGCACGTGACTTCGAGGCGCGGCCAATCAGCGCAGCCTTCTGCGCTATTCAAATCCGCGGCGCGGCCGACCGTTGTGCATAGCCACGCAGCGGTCGGGGGCACCGAGCTCCGGTATCGTTCAACGCCGCCATGCACTGCGCCGGCCGCTGACAGACCTCAGGGCCGGCCAGGCGGAATGGAGAGTCGGAGTGTTCCTCCCGGGCCTTATCGGGCCACCAAACTGGTAAGACCGCCCGGAATAGCTAGACTTTGGCCAGCCGCAGCGATGGCCGCCACCACCTTTACGTGAGAACGTTTGTAGTTTTTTTGTCTTGAGAGGACAGATGGATCCCAGAGCACCTTGGTTCCCTGAAAAGGAGAGTGGGGGAATTAGGCATCGCGAAACCCTTGCGGGACACGCCTATCCCCCTCATTTGAGGGTCTGGGCTGTGAGCCGTAAGTCCAAAGGGTCGCGTCCCCGGGTTTGCGCATTACACACTAGCCTTTTTAGGCGACTCCTTTGCCTGCAGTTGTCGGCGTGCCCTGGAAAGTCGTAGAATATTCCGATTTTAGCCACTCCCCACGTCTGATTCTCTACCCCGATCAGGATTAAAGAAGAACTGAGAAAGAGTTCTGTTACCCTGTAGTGTCAGAATGGGGACAGCCCGAATGTGACAGCTTCGTTTTGCTGGGTCTGTAGAATTTAATGCAGGATCTACCGATTGTAATCGCATTAGGTAACAGCTGCCCATTTCAAAACTAAGACCAGAACAGTTAAGATACCCAACGGGAACCACTGTTGGTAGTCACTGGGTTTGTACTCGGATACAATGTCTTTGTGCATTTAAATTCTCAATCCAACAGAGTCCAGTGCCACTGGGTACGTGACATTAGAAGAGTGGCTTAATTTAGGTTAGCCTCAGTTTCCACATTGGTAAAGTCGAGCTAATAATGTATACACCCACCTTAAAGGATATCCCAAGAGGATACGGTATATGAAAGTGTGTTGTGATCTATAGATCTTATGGATAAGTCAGAGCTCAATACGTTTCTTGAATAAATGTATGAAATGGGGAGGTGTGGTAGGAAGAAAAGAATAATTATTGTGTTGTGGGTGTTGGGGCCGCACTGGTTAGATAACCGATAACATAGCTTGTAGTGGCATAGTTGGGGGTTACAAATCAGATATCTTGGACTCTAATACGGGATTTTTCAGTTAAAGAGTGGTGTGTGTACTTTACACCACCACCACCACCTTGGTACTCCAGTGTTATAGCTACCACAAACCCCAAAGTTTGGGTTATTTGAGGACAATTTGGAAAATATGAGTATCTTTTTAAAACCTAGGTGCATCACTGTTATTCAATATGCAGTGGACTTAAAGCTTAGTTAATTTACCCTCTTGTTCTATGTTCACTATGGGAATCTTCACATAAGAAATATATAAGGTACTTCAACATTAAAGGTATCTTCCAGTAAAACTACTGCCTGCTATGAATTTTATTTGACCAGCATAGTAGTTACGAATCCAGGTTCTTGAGTCAATCAAACCTGGGTTTGAATGCCTGGATTCATCATTTACCCGGGTGACTTTGGTCCAATTATTAAATCTCTCTGTGCTTCATATTCCTTATATGAAAATGGAATAATAATAGTACCTACTAATAGAATTCTGAGAATGAAAATGAAGTAATGAATGTAAAGTAGTATCTGACACAAATGCTACCAGCATTTTACTAATATTAGTTGAGATTTAGAAAAAAGGAATAAGTGTTTTCTGTATTGAAGACTAAGAGGCAGGTTCATTGCAGTTCTTCATTGTTTGTAGGTTTCCTAAGTAAGCCAACCAGACCATGAAGTGCTTTTAGTCAAAAACTATTACAAAGAAGTATTACTACAATACTAGAATAAAGAGAAATCAATATAAGATCTGATATTTTCCGTAGTAAATAAGACAAATGATTTCTTAATGAATGATTCTTAATGAATGTTTATGATATAATCAGTTGTGAATAAAATAATTTTCTTTGTCTACTTTGTTTCAAGTCAGTAAGATATCTAATTTTTGTTGTTTAATTTAAAAAAATATATATTTTCTTTCTGCAGTGGAATGAAATTACCACATCTTTTCGAGCAGGAATGCCTCTACGAAAACACAGGCAGCACTTTAAAAAATATGGCAATTGTTTTACAGCAGAAGCAGCAGTGGATTGGCTTTATGACCTATTAAGAAATAATAACAATTTTGGTCCTGAGGTTACAAGGCAACAGACTCTCCAACTGCTGAGAAAATTTCTTAAGAATCATGTAATTGAAGATATCAAAGGCAGATGGGGATCAGAAAATCTTGATGACAACAGTCAGCTGTTCAGGTACTGAACAGACAAGTAGCTACAAAACTGAGTTACTTAACAAAATTTAACTCCATTTCCATTATGCTTTTACTAAATTTCAGCTTCTTCAGAAGAAAAAATTTTTTTATAAAACTTACTGCTCTTAGTACAATTAAAAGCACTTAGAAGTTAAAGTTAATTGCTGCACAATTAAAACTTGTAAAATATTAAATAGTATATAAAATAAAATAGGTATTGGGACAAAAGAGTAAGACATTATCACTTCTTCATATTCTGAAAGCTATAACATTTCAAGAACAGATTATTATTAACCTTTAGTTTCATAGGTTGAGGAACTATAAGACAAATTCTCACAGGTCCTTGCCCTCAAGTAACATATAATCTTATATAATCAAAGAATACATGTGATAAAATAAATAATAGCAAACTTTAAATAATAGGAGAAACATACCATAGGTTAAAGAGATATTTATTAAGGATTTACCATGTATCAGAAGCCCTGCTTGGGCGCCTGGGTGGCTCAGTGGGTTAAGCCGCTGCCTTCCGCTCAGGTCATGATCGGCTCAGGGTCCTGGGATCGAGTACCGCATCGGGCTCTCTGCTCAGCAGGGAGCCTGCTTCCTCCTCTCTCTCTCTATCTGCCTCTCCGTCTACTTGTGATCTCTGTCTGTCAAATAAATAAATAAAATCTTTAAAAAAAAAGAAGCCCTGCTTTATGATTTACATGTTTTCTTATTTAATCCCCAGAATATTTAAGCAGGATAAACATTAGCTCATTTTTACAGATAAGGAAACTGAGATCATGCTTTATTTAATCTTGTTACATATGTATGATATATGTTCTTCCACCTTGAAACACTGTAGATATTTGTCAGATTAGTAAATACATTTGTTCTCCTGTGGTTTGTATTGCAGCTTTCTCTGTGGACCCTTTCTGACTCCCTCAGGCCACCACAATTGCTTTTGCTATCATGCACACAGGGTTCTGTTTCATATATCATTCAACTAAGTCTTTGGATTCTAATACCCATGCTTTGTTTCTCTACAAAATTAGTAGTTTTCAAATGAAATGTCTTAGAAGTTGATTTTTGCCTCTATATCAAAGATGATTTATATTGTACACGTGAATTGCAATAACAAGCATATGAATAGTTCATTTTGTAGAACATTCTACAAATCCCTCCTCTCCTAACTATAGCTTAGTCACCTTTGTGAGTTCCTTTGCTATTATTCATTCTATAGCTCTTACTGGTTTTTAAGGTCCCAGACTTAATCTTTACTTCACCTCTCTCCCTGGACAATCTCTTACCATGTCTTCACCTACTTTCCTTTTAACTTTAAAATTTCCAACCCAAATATATCTTCTGAGATTTAGACCCATTTTTTGCCCATCAGGCATTTCAGATACAACAAAGAGAAAAATCAGCATCATGTCTTAACCTGAACTTTGTCTTTGTCTATACATAGATGACTGATACTGTTTTCCCTGTAGTTGCTTTCTTTTCCTTTCCTCTCCCCTTTAAATATGATTTAATTAACAAACCATGTCTGTTATACTGCTTCAGTAGTTCTCTGTCCACTTCTCTCTCCACCCTGACAGTTCTTTTTGTTAGACCATTCTTCTCTCTTACCTGGAACTCTGTGTAATTCTTCAACTAGTCTCTCTGCCTCTAGTCTTTTATAATGGTAATAAGGTTAAAGTACTTATAAATATACTTTACCAAAAATGTATAAGACCTTACTGGAGAAAATCATAAAGTTGTATAAAAAGTAATAAGTGGAGAAGGATATCCTGTTGATGAATGAAAAGACTTAGTATAATAAAAGGTCACTTTTCCCAAAATCGATAAATAAATTCAGTGCATATTCATTCAGAATCCCATATAATTCCTTTATAGAATGTGACAAGCAGATTCTAAAATTCAAGGCAGTTTTGAAGTGAAGAAGGAGAGGAGAATTGCCATATATGATATCTGGTCTTAAATTAAAACAATTAAGTACTGAAAAAGCAAACCCATACATATAGTTGGTTCTTGAATAATGCAGGGATCAGAGACACTGACTCCTTGCATGGTCAAAAATCCACATAAAATTTTTGACTCCCTTAAAACTTTGCTAATAGCCTACTATTGACCAGAAGCTTTATTATTAACATACGTAATCAATTAACACACATTTTTGTATGTTACATGTATTATAAACTGTATTCTTACAATAAAGTAAGCTAGAGAAAAGAAAATATTAAGAAAATCATAACGAAGGGAACACTTCTATAATACTGTACTGCATTGATTTAAAAAACCTGTGTATAAGTGTCCATGTTCACAGGTCAACTGTATATGGGAATGTGATATAAGTTATACATGGATTAAATACCTAAATATGAAAATAAAACTCTTATGAAGGAATATAAAAAATATTTTAGGACTGTGGAATATAAAAGAACTTCTGAGGTCACTATAAACTTATGCATATATTTAATGTATAAGATACTATAGAATGAAAAAACCATACATATTGTTAATGAATATTTATTAAAAGTATAAACATGAACAAG